ATCAGACCCCGCCGGGCCCTCCCCACTTCCTGCCGGGATCGGACACCACCGGCAGGCCCGGCCCTGCTGGGCTCCATCAGCCTGAGGAATTGCTGCCAAGGAGGGGCCGGGGGCTTCCTCTTGGGCTTCGTCTCCCTGGCGCTGGGGCTCGGCTTCTACCTGTGCCAGAAGGTGAGGGGGGTCCCAGGGGGTCATGTGTCCCCCCCAGAGCGTCTGTGCCCCCCTGGGGACCCCCCACCCCGGTGTCACCCCCTTTTCTCTCCCCACAGAGCTCCTGAGCACGGCGGCGGCCGCAGCCCCTCCCCAAGACCTCGGGCCCAGCCTGGACTCCCCGCCATCTCCGTGAGAATTTTGGGGGGGTTGTGCGTCCCTCCCCTCCCCTGCTGTCACTCTGCCTCCGCCCGGCTGCTCCCAGTGATCCCAGGAAAGCTTCCCAGTTCTCCCCAGTCCCACTCATTGGGGGGCAGTTGAGGAGGGGTTTGGGGGAATTCCAAGGGGTGGGAGCCGAGTTTGGGGGGGGCAGAACCGGCCCCAGGATGGATCGGGAATGGGGACCCCCTGTGTTCCCCCTGTCAGCCCGCTCTGGGGGGGCTCTGGGAGGGCACTAACCCCTCAATAAGGCACCCAGCACACTTCGAAAGGTGCTGGAAACCCCCTAAACCTCCACACAGGCTCTGGAGGACTGCCTAAACACACTCAGAGCCCACCCAGGACCCTGCACAATTGTTTCTGGGGGACTTCTCTGGGTACTGGTGGTGCTGGGAACCCCCCTGGCTGCGGGCGAGGAGCTCTCAGGTGAGTGGGGGGTGGGAAGGGGGCGGTCAGTGGGAAAAGGGGGGTCAGAGGGGATAAAGGGGTGGTGGGACCCCAAACTGAGTGGGAGGGGAGTGGGACCTCTCAAAAGTGGAGAGGAGGGGGGGCACTGAGGATGATGGGAAATGGGTGTGAGAGGTCAGAAGAGTGGGGAAAGGGGAGGGTGGACCCCCAAACTGAGCATGAGGGGGCTGGGGAGTGGGGGGTTGATGTGGGAGGGGTGGGAGAGGAGGGGAAAAGTGGGGGTTGGGACCCCCAGGATGATCCTGGAAGGGGCTGGAGATTGAGGGGAACATGAAAAAGTGAGAGGAACAGGGAGAGGGTGGAAAAGGGGGCGGTAGTGTGGTGGGTCCAAAGGTCCCATGGGGGTCTTTGGGCACCAGGTTTTGAAAAATAGGGTGGTTCCCCTGAGCTCCCAATTTACTGTGGGGTGCTGGGGGCTCCTGGATCCAATCTCAGCCTTGAATCTTGCCAATATTTTAAGTTTAGAGGAATTACAGAGGTGTAACTGAAACACGTTTGTTCCACAGGTTTTAATGATGGCAAATCAGACCTGTTAATAGCAATGAATTATTTAGGGTTACAAATGATCAGACAAAAGACCTTCATCAGAATTATTTACTGCACAAGACAAACACTAAAACTACCAGGAGTACAGGATAAGATAGGACAGTGCTCTACACTAAAGCAATTGTTGAAGCCATTCTACTCAAGCTGACACAAAAGCAAGAATTCTTAATTAGAGATGGATGGAACTCCCCCAGAGCAACGCTCGTGGGGAGATCTCTGCTCTCAACCTCCAGCAGTTACCTCGGGGGGTCCCCAGCCAAGGCAGGAATCTCGACACAACCCCCAAGAAGGGTTCTGTTGGAAGAAGCTGCCCCTGGGAAAGGGGACTGGCCCTTTGTGGTGGAAAGGGATGGACTGACAGTCACTGGACTCCAGGGGTCGCCTCACCATCAGGGGGTTCATTTGGGGTGGAAGCAGCGGCCGAAGCTCTTCCTGCAGTCGGGGCACTGGTAGGGCTTCCCTTACTGGTGGGTCCTTTGGTGTCTGGTAAAGGCAGAGCTGTCACTGAAGCTCTTCCCACACTCCCCACACTTGTAGGGCCTCTCCCCGGTGTGGATGCGCCGGTGCCTGACGAGGTGGGAGTTCCGGTTGAAGCCCTTCCCGCAGTCGGTGCAGCGGAAGGGCCTCTCATCCGTGTGCGTCCGCTGGTGCTGGATGAGACTGGAGCTGGTCTGAAACCTCTTCCCACATTCCCCACACGTGTAGGGTCGTTCCCCAGTGTGGACGCGCTGGTGTTTGCAGAGGCTGGAGCTGTCACTGCAGCCCTTCCCGCATTCCCCACATGTGTAGGGCCATTCCCCAGTGTGGATGTGCTGGTGTCGGATCATGGTGGAGCTCTCCCTGAAACTCTTCCCACATTCCCCACAAGTGTAGGGCCGTTCCCCACTGTGGATGTGCTGGTGGGTGAGCAGGTGGGTTCTCAGCCTGAAGCTCTTCCCACATTCCAAGCACCTGAAGAGCTTCTCCCTGCTGGGAGGCTGCTCAGGGTCCACCAGCTCAGAGCTCCCCCTCAAACTCTGGCCGCCTTCCCGGCACAGGCTGGTTCTTTCCTCCTCAGAGCACCCTGGGATGGCTTTGGAGCCCCTCCTGCGGGGGGATCTCCGGCCCTTTTCCTCCCCGCTGCCTTCAAGCACCAGGGAGCCCTTCAAAACGGCCTCTCCCACCAGGGTCTCACGGGGGGATTTGTCCTCCGGGCTCTCCGTCCTCAGCTCGGGGCCTGGGGCAGGAAGCAAGAAGGACAGGGAGGGGATTTGCCTCCGGCCCACAGGGAAGGCCAAGGACATCCCCCCAACTCCGGCCCCGGCAGGACGGCGGCGGCAGCGGGGTTGTCCTGCAGCCGGGGCCATGCTCGGCTGACAGAGCCAGCACAACACCCGCCCAAAGGGCCACTGACTTCCTCCTCACCTGCCTGGGGGGCCCAAGGCATCTTCCTCTTCCTCGCAGCCTCCTCCTCCATCCGCCCAAGCTTTGGGAAGGACAAATCCTGATGGGGGGAAACAAGGGCTGAGTGCGTTGGTTTGGGGGTTCCTCCTGCCCAAGTCCATCTCTAGAACTCACTGGGCATCCTGTGTCCATAAAAACCTCCAAAATACCAAGATTCAGCCCAGAAAAACCCAAACCACCAAGATTCAGGCAAAAAGCTCCTCAGAAATAGCAAGATGAACCCCTCCCCAAAGTACAAAATGTTATGATTCAGCCAAAATATACTCCAAAATATGAAGATTCAGCCAAAAAAAGGTGTTTAATTGGGAGGATGAGGGGAGCAAGGTCACTTCATGAGCACTTGATTGAGTTGCTAAATATTATTCAAAAGCTGAATTAACGTAGTATCACTTAAAACTCATTTTTTTCTTCCTAGTTTCAGTGTAGAGAATAAATATGAAATCCCTGGACTTCAGGCCTGGATCATTACCCCTGTGCTTTGGAGTGCAAATGTTTTCTCCTTCCACTTCTCCCCTGCCATTGTTTCTGACAACTGCATTCCTCTGCTGTGCTGTGCCAATCTCCTGGGATGTGCAGTTTCCATGTTTGCAAGGATTAAAGGCTACTTTTTGCCTCCCAGTGCCAAAGGCTGGTCTGTGAAGTTTAGTGTGAGAGAACCCTGGGCAATCAGACACTGAAATTGTTGAGCTGCAACGGGCCATGTGAATGGAATGACAGAATCCATTCTGCTGGCCCAGACACAGAACCCAATATCTGGCTGTGGCTCTTTGCCTCACTGGCACCATCCTCTGTGGTTCCTGCTGCCCACCATGGCACTGGCACCCCAGGGGCACAGGTACGTCCATCCTGTACATGAAGTCAGAGTCAGACTGTCCACAAGTGTTAGCAGGAGTAAAACAGTGCACTGCTGACCTTCTGGAATTTATCTCTGTTAATGTCTGACTTCACTCGGTCAATCTGTGTTCTCTTGCACAGCGTTACGTGGGTTTATGATTTTCATTATCACTGCACCAAATTAATCTGGAATGTGTGGTCAGAACAGTAATTACCTGTATT